TGGGCTCATTTTGAAGCCCTTCTCTACCAGAACGCGAATTTCAATGTCTCATCTAAAAATTTCAGACCCTACACTCAGAAGACTGGTCTTACCAAACGGTGACTTCTTACCCGGACTGCAAGGGTTTCAAAAATCAATACACGGACCACACTTTTTGGCCGTTTACAAAAATTTATGAATATAATGGGACTACTGTAACTCAGGAGCATTTGAATGGGAAGTTGTGTCGAGAGATCCATCACGCGGCCATGGAACAAATGGAACAGTTTATGGATATTTATAAAGGTACGTTTTTTCGATATTTTTGGGTGAAATTTTGATTTTAATGAAAATTTAACACTTCGTTTGAAATCAGCACATTGAGAGCTTCAAAATGAGCCCAAACACGACAAGACTCCGCCCACTTTCATTTTGGAGGCGCGTCGCGGTCGCGCGTCGCGTGTTCACGCGAAATTTCAACGTAGGTGGAGCCTAGTCGTGTTTGGGCTCATTTTAAAGCTCTTGTTAAAACAAAATCATTGCTCATAATTTTAATCTGAAATATTGATTTTCAAGACTACAAACTACAAATTTTCATGGATTTTCGAAAAAAATTTCAGACCACCCAAAATTCGCATGGCTCTGGAACGTCCATATTGCTCATAATTTTATCACTGGAGCTGATCGACTAGATGATAAATTGTTGGATTTTTTCGAACGGAAAGAGAAAGAGGTACCAGAGAAACGAGAGTGTCTGCGTCTCCTCCCCTTCTCTATCTCGTCATGGAAGCGGCGCCACTTTAAAGACGCATATCTCCAAAACTACTGTAGCTAGCTTAACTTTGCAAATTACAAAAATGTGTGAAATTTTATGCTGAGCATTTTTTTAGTTGACAACTTTCCAATAGCTACTGTAGTTTTTGAGATATACGTTGTTAAAGACAACCCACTTGAATAAGTCATAAAATTGATTTCCTTACTGCTCTGCGCTCTCCTTATCTCTCTTTATCTCTAATTTCCCGAATTTTCAGCTTGACCACTACTTTATCATTCTAACTTCTGATCACGGCTTCAGAATGTCTGATTATCACCTGTATGAGTCTGAAAATGGAGCAATCGAAAAGCATAATCCTTATTTATCAATCTCGGTGCCCAAAAAGTACCGTAACCCGGAAATTCTACAAATTATGAGGGAGAATTCACAACGACTACAAACTCAGTACGATACCAGAGCCACGTTGCTGGATATTTTGAAGGTAAGCGAGAGAGTATGGAGGGCGCAGAGAAACGAGAGCGCTCTCGTCGTCTGCGCCTGCTCAAACCTTGAAAATATCTTTAAAACTACAGTAGCTAGCAAAATTTTAAAATTTGGAAAATGTCTGAAATTTTTTGCTGAGTAATTTTGTGATTCAGTTTTTTGTCTAGGTATCGTAGTTTTCTAGTTATGCGCATTTAATTAAGGCAGTTCCTTATCTGCGCTCAAACAGAGTGTCTGCGTCTTTTTAAAGGCGCATATCTCAAGAACTACAGTAACTAGCAACTTTCTGTAAAATGGAAAATGTGTGAAGTTTTATGCTGAGTAATATTGTCGATTGGTTTTTTGTCTAGGTACCGTAGTTTTTGAGATACGCGCCTTTAAAGAAGTCAGCTCCTTTCCTCGAGTAAGAAAAGTGTCTGCGTCTCTTTAAAGGCGCATATCTCAAGAACTACGGTAGCGAGCATAATTTTGTAAAAGAGATAATGTGTAAAATCTAGCAATTTTGTAATTATTTTCTTTCTGATAGCTACAGTAGTTTTTGAGCTATGCGCCTTTAAAAATCCCTCATCCCACTCAAAGAGGCTCGCCAACTTTAAAAGAGAATATCTCAAAAATAACAATAGCTAGAAAAAAGTGTTCAACTCATAAAATGTGTAAAATTTTCAGCTCTATCAGACGATATTTAGATTCAATCAATAAATGTCATATTTCACAAGCCCAGACCATTTTTCCAGTACCAACCCTCCTCCCACTTCACCAATCGCTCTCTTCTCGAAATACCCGGTGAAAAGGGGCATTCATTGCTTCGTCACCAACCAGAAACCCCTAGAACGTGTGGTAGATTACCGATTCCTCAACAATACTGTATTTGTAGAACAGAAACCAAGGATATGAAGCATGAGTGAGTTACAGTAGAGCGAATTTGCTCAATTTTTGATTAAAAATGTTCCAGCAAAGCCCTCAGCCAACGATTTGCGACTGAATTGATAAAACACGTTCATGAAATATTGGATTCCTTTAATCTCACTAGCTTATGTCATAAATATGAAATTGATAATGTGAGTTTTTGATTTCCCACCTCCCCCTCTTCCCCCTCTCACTCCCCGCCGACCCCCGCTTTCCCCTCCTTCCTATACGCCTTGCCACCTAGCACCTTAGTGTGACTGCTTGGCGCAATGGTAGCGCGTTCGACTCCAGATCGAAAGGTTGGGCGTTCGATCCGCTCAGTGGTCAAAGACTTTTTTTCTTTTTTTGCTTTTTGTGAGGGCCCTTAAAAAGTGTATGGGAACCTTTAATTCTAATTTTTGAACAAATTCAGGTCTCCCATCTTGATCTCTACCCTGCTACGAATCTCGAAACTTCAACATACCGCATCGCTGTCAAAACCAAAACGCCCAGTTTTGCACATTTCGAAACTTTGGTCACTGGAAATAAGGAAACCCAGAAATTGGAATTTGAGGAGGTGGAACGATTGGATACCTACGGGAAAACCGCGGATTGTACGAATCGGATACACTCGATGCGATTGTGTTATTGTAAACAGCAGAATGAATGATCCTATACTTTTAAACACATTTTTGATTACCAAGCAGAGATTTCCAGCCAAATTCATTTTTATTTATTTTTTCAGCTTTTCATAAGCTTCAAAATGAGCCCAACCACGACTAGGTTCCGATCACTTTGAATTTTCAGGCGCGTCGCGGTCGTGCGTCGCGTGTCGGCAGCAAATGTTAAAGTGGGCGGAGCATAGTCGTGTTTGGGCTCATTTTTGAGCTCTCGGCGTGCTTGACACAAATACAATAATAATTTTTTGGAAAATTTGACATTTAACCCAAAAAACAGTTTTTTAAAAATTGAAAATAAAATCAAAATTTGAAACTATCATATCTTCGGTCAGTTTTGAACCAGTGGAAGGGAAACAATTTTTTCAGATTAAGCTCATAATACGCTTAAAAATGAGCCTAAACACGACTAGGCTCCGCCCTCTTAGAAATTTCGGCTGCACACGCAACGCATGACCGCGACGCGCCAGAAAAATGAAAGTGCGCGGATCATAGCCGTGTTTGAGCTTATTTTGAAGCGCTCATTGCTCTGAACTTTATGGAATTCAACAAATCAGAAGATTTTCGAGAATAGAGCCAGAAATGGAAAATTTAGAAAAAATCAAAAATTCTTTTTTCTTTTTCAGTTTTTTGACACTGTGAAAGCTCTTTTTTTGTTTTTCGGTTTTCACTGATCAGACCTCATCAAGTGCTTCAAAATGAGCCCAAACACGACTAGAATCCGCCCATTTTGAAATTTCGCCTGGACACGCGACGCACGACCGCGACGCACCTGAAAAATCGAAATAGGCGCAACCTAGTCATGTTTGGGCTTATTTTAAAGCTCAAAACAAGCCAAATTCAAATTTCATATAATCAGAGTATAATTTTTATTGATTTTCCAGTTAAATTGGTCCTTAATAACGGAAAGAAGTGGAAAAGATTTGCATATAAGTAGATATAGGCAGAAATATATATTTAGAGAGAACATTTGGACATGGTATTTGAGGAATCTATTATTTTGCAAGAGAAAAGATTACTGTAGGGGGCGGAGCTTAATGAAAAGTGGGCGGAGCTAGATTGTTTGGGGTGGAGGGGAATGGAGTAAGTTTCATGGCAAATAGGACATTTCACAGGGACAAAAAATAATACTAATGATGCAAGTGTGCTCTATTGAACCATACAGTTCAGTGGGGCGTATTTGCACTAGAAACTAAACATCTAGGTATGAAAATAGCGAGGTTGGTACATATAGCAAATGCGCTCTGGTGAGAATTTTAGAAAATGTAAATTTTTCGAAAATTCTCAGTGGAGCGCATTTTCGAATTTCAACTAGAAAAAAAAAAGAAAGTGAAACTAGCGGGAAATTGGTTCATATTCAAAAAAAAATCAATTTGAGATTACTGTAGTTGCTCCAGAATAGGCAGCCAGTGCTGCGAGAATACTCTCGGTGAGCTCGGTGAGCTTTGTAGTGTATTCGGAGGTTACTGTAGGTACTGTAGCTAGGTGTATTGTGGCCGGGAGTACTGTAATTTGAGCTGGCGGTGGGGGCGGAGTCGAAACTTCTGTTAAAGAGCGAGAATCGGCTTGGATGGGATTGACGAAGCGGGTTTCGCACAGGATTTGATGGATTTGGCGGGTGGACTCCTGGAAAAATATTGATGTTTTTGAAAATGAGGAAATATTCAGGCATTTTAAGCCAAAAATCAAAGAAATTGAGTGAAAACTCGCAAAATTTGAAGGCTTTCAAATTGTTTTTGTTCGCTGAAAATGTATTTTTTTTCAGATTTTTTTGCTGAAAGTTAGGTCAGACAAAATTTGGCGAACATATTTATTTTTTTAAAACTATAAGCTTTTCTTGGTTTTTTTGGTTTTTAATGAGTATAGCTTATCAAGAGCTTTGAAATAAGCCTAAACACGATTAGGCTCCGCCCATTTTGAAATTTCAGCTTGACCCGCGACGCACCTGAAAAATCGAAATGGGCGGAGCCTAGTCGTGTTTGGGCTCATTTTGAAGCTCTCACTGAGCTCTATTCAAGTTCATTAAAATTTTTCAGAACAGACTGTCACAACAAAAACTACAGTAATCCGAGATTTTCTGAAATTTTAAAGTCAACCGAATACAGTCGTGTTTGGGCTCGTTTTGAAGCATTTTTCCAGGAAAATTCGATTTTCTAGATTTCCCACTAAACTTCTCACCTTCTGAAACGGCATTTCACAGTGAGCACATACGAATGGGGTCGTGAATTTTCGGGCCACCGTATCCTCTTGAATTCCGTTTCCGTGCGCGCATTTTTCGCCGGTTATCGAGCAAGCCATGAGTTTTCTAGAATATTTCGAGTTTTTTTAAGCTGAGCAATCTTCAAAAAAAATCTGGAAAACGTCTAGAAATTTAAAGAAAAAATGTTTTTTCAAAAAAACATTTTTTTTAATTCCAGATTTTTCCAGAAAAAATTGCTCACTTTTTATTGATAAGACTCTCGATTTCCTTATCATTCGCTTCCAGATCCTTCAGACATTGTTGAGCGTCTTTTGCAGTTTTCTCATCTGCCAGACCCTCTGGATTTCTACAGTAATCCGCCAATTTCTTGGATCCCTCTCTTTTCTTAGTGTACAAACTCTCCAGAACGATTTGGTCACGGTCGTGCTCTTTTCTGAAAAAAATTTGAGTTCTTAAAATTTTAAGATTTTTAGAAATCTGAAACAAAATTTTTTTCAAAATTTTCAAATTTCGCGCCAAAAAAGCCACCTACTTGAATTGTCCTCTCCACCAATAAAACATGCGTCTTGTTGGTCCTTTTCCCCAGACACGATTGAATTTGTTCGCTGCTACCGTAGTCCCCCAATTGTTCTCGTAGGCCACATCCAGGAAGTGCTTCTTCTCGCAGTCCGAGTAGTTCTGAAAGATGAGTCATTTTTAAAGACGCGTAACTCAAAAAGTACAATAGCTAGGAAGAAGTTGTCAACTACAAAATTACTCAGCATAAAATTTTACACATATTTGTAGTTGACAACTTTGTAGTAGGTACCGTAGTTTTTGAGATATACAAGTTTAAAGAAACGCAGACAATCTCCCCTACCGAGAATGGGGGCTTCTTTAAAGGCGCATATCTCCAAAACTACAATAGCTATGAAAAAACGAAAAACATCAAAATGTGTGAAAATTTATTTTGAACAATGTAATAATTAGCAATTTTCAGCTATCTTTCCCGGTTTTTGAGGTATGCACCTTTCAAAAATTGGCAATTTTGTAAAATTATTTTTAAAAAATTTGGAAACGTATTTTTTTTCTTTTTTTCAAATACAAATTTTCCTTATCTTTTTACCCTTATTATGTTAATGCTTTTTCAGTTTTATCAAAAATTAACGAAAATTTCAAATTTCAAAGGTTAAGACGCAGACAAGCAGACTGTCTAGCTTCTCTGCGTCTCCCTCCCCTCCTCTCGCCCAAGAAGAGGCGCCAACTTTAAAGGCGCATATCTCTAAAACTACAGTACCTATCAAAAAATTGTAAACTACCAAAATGTGGGAAGTAATATGTTGAGCTATTTTATAGTTGACAACTTTTTAATAGCTACTGTAGTTTTTGAAATAAGCGCCTTTAAAAGGGCGCATGCCCTTTGTACCGTTCGCAAACTCCTCGGAAACTTTAAAGTCACAAAACTCGAAAACTACAATAAATCTCAAAACGTTGTTAACTACAAAAATTTGTAACATGTTATGCTGAGCAATTTTGTAGTTAACCCCTTTTTGGTAGCTACCGTAGTATTTGAGGTATGCGTCTTTAAAAAGTCCCTTGCCCCTCTTACCCCACACTAACCTTTCGACAAACAAACTCGAAAACTACAGTACCAATCAAAAAGTTGTCAACTACAAAAATCTGTGAATTTTTACGCTTATCTAATACATTTACCTTAGAAGACGTGACCGGCGATCGTCTCTTCATCTTTCTCTTCTGCTCAATTTCCAATGGTTTCTCCTCATCTTCCTCCTTATTCTCCTGATCTGATATCGGTGGTGATATTGATGATAAGCTATCAGACAACGTTGAAATCGGCGATGACGTGGCAGACGGAGGTGGGGTTACTGTAGGAAGAGGTTGTAGTGGAGGAAGTGTTGATTGGGGGATGAGCAATAGTTGTTGAAGCTGTTGTTGAGAAGCGATTAAGGCTTCTGGGGAAATATTCAGAAGGTTTGAGGTGGGAGAACTCCATTGGAAGAATTCCGCTAGAGCACCTAGGGTTATGCGCTCCATCTGAAATTTGATGTATTTGTAATAGGAACTTTTGGTGGAAAGTTGAAAACAAAAATAACTTGAAGGATAGACAATGGAGAATAGCTTGAATTGTGTTTGGGATTGTGAGATTTTTAACCAGCCTGCTGGTTGGTTCGACCTATTTTTATAGTTTGTCGCTTTGCTAATTCAAAACCCTCTAAGAGATTTTAAATTAATTCAAATAATAGACAAAATTTCCTACAAAATGCACTAAAAATCAAGTTTCTAGAACCAATTTAAGCCGAGTTATGGTCATTTGAAGTTTTGAGATTAGAGACGCAGTGTGTCTCGTTTCTCTGCGTCTCTCACCCCCAAAACTTTAAATAAGCATAACTTGGCTCAAGATAGTCGTAGGAGTTTGGTTTTTGGTCCTCAAAATTTAAATTTTAAAAACTTCGAATTTTGAAAGTTTTAAAATTTTGAAAAAAGACAAAATTTTGCTACAAAATGCACTAAAAAACAAATTTCTAGGACGATTTTGAGCCGAGTTATGGCGTTTTGAAGTTTCCGGTCAGAGACGCAGTGTGTCTCGTTTCTCTGCGTCTCTCACCCCCAAAACTTTAAATAAGCATAACTCGGCTCAAGATAGTCGTAGGAGTTTGGTTTTTGGTGCTTTTTTGGTTAAATTTGGTCTTTTTTACTTTTTTATGTTGTTCGACCTCAAAATTTAAATTTTAAAAACTTCGAATTTTGAAAGTTTTAAAATTTTGAAAAAAGTCAAAGTTTTGCTACAAAATGCACTAAAAAACAAATTTCTAGGACGATTTTGAGCCGAGTTATGGCGTTTTGAAGACTGGAGGGTAGAGACGCAGAGTGTCTCGTTTCTCTGCGTCTCACTCCTCAGAATCTTCAAATGACCGTAACTCGGCTTAAAATGATCGGAGGAAGTTGGTTTTTGGTGCATTTTTGAGCAAATTTTATGGGTTTTCTGGGAAATGCAAGTTTTACAATATTTGGAAAAAAACATTTCGGAACACTTCTAATTCATTTTAGATCTACTTAAAATCGGAAAACGCATCTCAAAATGTACTGAAACTTTTAAGCATTTTTTTTTCTCGAACTGAACATTCAAAAGAAGGCTCAAAACCTTCTGAAACACTTTTCAAAATTTCCAAAGAAGATTGTAGAATTTTCCAATTAGATAAATAAAGGAGACGTTAATGAACAAAAGAATGGAACGGTGATAAACTGATAGTGGTCGGAATCGGATAGGAAATGGCCGCCGTCCTCGCCGAGAAGAAAAAAAAAGGAGAAACAGCGTTTCTTTCTCTTTGAACAAGTTCGAATTCCTTTTTCTCGACGAAAAATTGAATACGAGAGAAGACAGGTTCAAGGTTAGACCGATCAACATGGGCGGAACGCACAGATTTTCACGAGAAGGAGATTGGCTTAACAGATATCGAAAAATGTGTACTTTCTTGTCTCAAAAGTACATTGACTGGTGTTGACCTAGATAACACCAGGGAGGCCTTGATCAGTGAATCAACAGTTTGTGATTTTTGAGCTAGAAATTGTAGATTTTCAGTCAAGATATTCTGAAAAATTTGATAATGGTTTTTATCCGAATTGCATTCTGCCCGAACACCAATAAAATTTTCTCTAAAACGCACCAAAAATGAGCTTTCTAGGACTATTTTGAGCCGAGTTACGGTCATTTAAAAATAGGAGGTCAGAGACGCAGTGTGTCTCGTTCTCTGCGTCTCTCACCCCGGAAACTTTCAATGGCTGTAACTGGGCTTAAAAAAAGCAAGTTTCTAGCTCTATT